TCTTATTCTTCCACCGTAGAAGATTGAGTTAATTATTCATGGGTATAAGAGATTTGAATGAACCATGTGGTTCAGTGATTGCAGTTGTTAATGAACATGAGAAGAGGAATTTTGGTTAGAGAAAGTTTTTGCTAGCAAGAAGAAACCTAGCTTACGGTGCTCAAGACATATCTTTTCTTCGCTGACGACAATTTCTCTGTCTACGATTCCAAATCCAAGCTTCTCTTCCTTGTCGACTCTTATGGTCTTGATGTCCGAGACAAAGATGAAGTCGATAGTCGCACTTCCTCCGATTTGTGCTCAGTCTCCGCCTCCGTTATTCTGTCTTTGGCATTTGAATATCCGTATCTATTAATTGAAGCTTAACTTGTAAATCATGGGTTCGTTGTGATAAATCCTTCTCCTCGAGTGAAGGCATCAGAGCTACTGCTAGCAAGGCCAAGCAAGAAAACAAAAGGATCAAATGGGTATTTGAAAAAAATTGATACATCGGTCTAATGTTTTCCGTCTACGTCAGTGACAGAAGGGTGGTTTTGTCAAATTCTTCAATTTATAGAGGAGATTTTTATCATTGTCAAAAATTTTAGGGGAGGTTTTTGTATTTTACCCTAAAGTTATTTCTAACAAAGTCATCAAAAGAACTCTTTTGCCCTTGTTATTTTTTCAAAAATGGTTTCTTGTACATTCTGTTATCTTATATGTTGCCGTACATTCCATCAAATTCAAGTTTTCTTGTCGATTTACTGGTTTGTTCCATTGACCGACGTCTCCAGTCTCCACTCCCTAACATAATCTCCACGGCTCCGCTCCGTATTGTCGATTTTGTCTCTGGTTTTTCTCGTGATTGTTCAAGCCTCTTCTCAAACTCTATAAAGTAAACATTATATTTCTCTCAGTGGCCCTTATTTTAACAAACACTGTATTTCTCTCATCTATACCTTGAAATTCCAATATCCGAATTGTCGTATAATGTACTGAATTGTTACTTCAGATCTACCCCTGTTTTTTTTTAAGAACTAATCTTAAGATTTAAAAAAGTCATCTAATGACTTAGGGCTCAGGAGATGACACAAGAGTAAGTCATAAGATTGTCTAGCTAGTGCAGTTGTTATGCACATAATATGAACCATGTACTCTCTCCACTGCAATATGCCTGAGGAGGGGAAAAAACTCACTAGAATAGTTTGGACATTGCTAAATTCAGCATAGTTCTGTTGTTGGAGCAACTATTTTTGTTTTGAGAAAACAACATAGCTTGGACATCACTAGCTTCTTGGTTTTCAGTAAGTCCTATTGAACTGAAAGAATATAAATTGGAATTCAGAAATATACCTATTGAAATGGCTTCTCATGACTGCCCTTGGTGTTCTATGTGTAAGGTTTAGCTTCTAGATTTTCAGCAAGTCCAAGACTGAGTAGAACTGGAATTGGCCATAGAATTCTAGTTTTTGTTAGTTGCACACTGATTCTAACCATTTAATTGAATGAAGATTCTTAGATGCTAGAAATCTTCAAGATGATACAAGAGTAAGTCATAAGATTGTCTAGATAGTGCAGTTGTTATGCACATAATATGAACCATGTATTCTCTCCCCTAAATTCCTTCTTAGTACGAATTGATTGATTACAATAGGCTTGAGGAGGGAAAAAAATTCAAACTAACCCATAATCAGTTATTAGTTTTGGGCAAAGGTGCATGAATTCACTCAACATGAGCCAAATCAGGTGGTATTCATGTTGGCCGAAGAATCATATCAATGTGATTGGTTTTATAGTTTTCAAAAATAAAAATAGCTTGGGCATCACTAAAATCAATATAGTTCTCTAGCTTTTTTTTTTTTTAAAGAAAATAACATCATGCAAACATCCCCTAAACCATTTATTAAAGTTGGCATTGATATATGCGTGGATTTTATTTAACTTTTTATCAAAGGGAATATCTATGATATCGAAAAGGCATTGTACTGGAAGAGTACTGACCAATCAAAGGAACCCATGAATTTTGATGAACACCACCTGATTGGTCACCTCTTTTATGATATTGTTGATATGTCATAAGATTTTCTAATATCTAACATAGTTCAACATGTCACCAAATCTTTGACAATTATTGAATCTCCCCTTTTGGCACCTAAGTTTGGACAGCCACCATTGGATTCACATTCCATGGAATTATGCACCACCGAGCTTCGTACAAGTAAAACTGTGGAGTTGAATGATCCACTGGGCCTACGTTTTTTGTAAACTTATCAAACCCCAACGAAAAAGCAAGAAACTGAGGTCTTTGAATTCAACTAAATAGTAGACCGTCAACATGGCTTTTAATTCAACTAAATTGTCCGAGTACCAAGGTTACACAATAATGCATTATACACCTTTGATTCACAAACTTTTTATATGACCCAATAATATCACAAAACTCAAACATTCAATCAAAGTTATCCTTCTATGACTAGAAAACTTCTTCAACATCATCTAGTGGGTCTTTAGAAGGCCCTGCCCCATCTCCTTTGATAATTACGCTCCTCGTGCTATGCCGGACATGTGGTCTCCTTGGTATCCATGCAAGGAACCTACACCCACCCGCATCTTACAAAAAATATTGTGGATTAAGCGATTGAAGACTTAACTAAATTATAGAAACAAATAAATCTTACTTGGGGCTTTGTGAAAACCCAAAATCGTCTCCCTTGTGTACCGGGTCATTTAAATGTGAAGACCCTGCAAACCCTATTTCCACATGGACAGTTCCTTGTCTCATTCTTCCAATAGAAGAAATTACACCTTTTATTAGGGGTAAACTACAATAATAACCAAGAATTGGGTTGGATGATATGTTATCAAATCAGCAAAATCACAACACAATGTAAAACCTACATAGTAGTGACAACCATAGAACTCCCACCCAACATTCTCAGCCTTCCCATTCTGTGCCACGACAAGTACACACTCTCCACCACCACATGGCAGAAAACTTTCATGGTATTAGAGGGGTTCTCGGGTGCGCGGGGATAATGTTTAGTGTGCATGTAGTGGGGTGAGGCTCGGTGGGCATGTATGTGCACGTGCGGGCGCAAGCGTGGACGTGGGCATGTGTGTCTGGGCAGGCACGGGGATGGGTGGGCATGGGCATGGGCGTGGGTGGGCATGGTGTTGGGCGTGCTACACTAGTGGCGGGGCTGGGTGTGGTCAATCATTTTATCGAGCATCTGCAAGTCAAAATCCTCCTTCATCCTTCCTTCTTCCTACTTCCTACTCCTTTACAACCCTATTTCTTCCTCCTTTCCCTCATTATTCTCAACCCAAAATAGCCCTATTTCTTCCTCCCTCGGTTTCTTTCATTTTTGTTGGGCTTTGATGGTCTACTGTCTATTCACGCAGAAAATTACTCCCTCCTATCCTCCCTCCTCCCTCCTCCCTCCTCCCTACTCCTTATTCAGGGACGTCGATATCCACAATAGCAGCTTTTGGCCATCACCTCTTTGTCTACAAGTCAAAAGGGCATTTTCAACCATTGAAGGGTGCTTTTGTATTATGTAAGATTAAATCCAACACGTGAAGTCACGTGTAAATGGTATGTGACAGAGAGTTGATGAGAAAGGAAGCATGTGACAATTGTCAGGAATAGTAAGGGTACTTTAAGACAATAATAAAACAGTAGGGGTAGAGCTAGTCAATTTCTTAAACCTTAGGGATAGTTTAAGAAATTTGCCCTATTAAAAATATATGTGAAGTGGAGTCAGATTAAATCAAAATCTGATTCTAAGGCTAATAGGATTCAAATCCAATGAGAGATACCCAAATCCATTAGATTTCAAATCAGATCCGGATTTTGGATGTTACCGAATCTGATCTGATTACAACCCTACTACTGACTTACCACCAAGTACAAAGAGACAGCGCACAGCAATGTGCCACATCACCCATAACATTCAAACTTAACGGTAGCCCTTTAAATCCCGTTAATTCATTTATTTGTTTTATTATTAGCAGGAACCCCGTGAAATGCATAGGAAATCCCAATTTCCAATATAATGGCAAAAGAAATTAAAAGCAAACGTAAGCCTTTACCTCAAGAAAGAAAATAATGGAAGATATCGCAAATTAATGCAAGTCAACAATTGTGTATTTTAAATTCCAAAGTTATTATTTTTTTTTGTTATTTATGATTTTTATTATGTACTTTTTAGTATTTATAAAGTTATTTTTAGTAATTATTATTTTTATTATGTATTAGTTTATACATAATAATTTTTTATTTTTATTTTTTATGTAAATAATATTTTTTATGATTTATTATTTCTAAATAATCTTTGTATTACTTATTTTAGTAATTATTTTAAATATTTTTTATTATTTAAACTATATTATTTATTACTTATAATTTAAATAGGCAAGAAAGGGACTATCATTTTGGCTCTATACAAAAATTTGTGAGATGAGGTTGATTAATAAATGATTATCCCCAAGTAAAAAGAACTTTGTGACAATTCCAATTAGCCAAGGATTGCAAAAGGAGTGTGTGGAAGCCAAGGATCTCTCACCACAAGCCTCACACCAATTCTCCCTTTATCTCCTTCACACATGTGAAAAATTAAAAATAGATAATTTACTAGACATGTTTGAAAAATTAAAAATAGATAATTTACTAGACATGTTTGATAAAAACCATGGTGTATGTCTTAGTTTTTTCATTGAAAATTCTAATAAAGCCATTCTTAAATCTCTCTCTCCCTCTTCAATGGTCAACGATTGTAATTTCTCCCTTTTGACCCTCTCTAAGAACAGAAGCCAGAGGATAATATCACCATGTTCTATTACTGATTATTGATTGAAATTAACCTTTTAAAATCTTGGCCATATTAATATGCACCAGGCCGCTAGCAGACCAACCAAGAGGTGGTCGACCAGACGTAAGAGGCCATTAACAAATGTTGTATAACAAGAACTGGTTGGATACAAAAGAGATTATATCCCACCTTCGGAAGCATTTTGAAAGATGAATGAAATTTTTGAAAGCTTATATAAGTGGTTCTCTCTCTCAAGAAAAACCCTAGGCTTCGGAGAGAAGCACATCATTCGAATACCCAAAATACAGAAAATAGGAATCCTTGCACTGTTGTGCTTGTTTAATTCATGCAGCTCGCAACAAGCTGGGTAGAAGGGAACAAGAAGAAAACAAAATGAGCACAGGGGAAAGTCAGGAGAAGCTTATAGGACTCCCATATATTTAGTAGTCCGTCCATTTCATGCTTGTTGGATTGCTTGAGGCGAGCGCCGAGGGAGAGCACCAATATGTCAACAACGATGACGATAGTAGCAGTGTAGGCTTTACACTTTACTCGGCATAACACAGATATGCATAAGGTTAACCCCCTTTGGTGTCCGACGTAAGAAGCCCCATCTGTTCTGTGAGCTGATCCATATGCTGAGCTTTGTCCCATCCATTTTCCTGTCCAGAATGACCATCTTTTTCCTTGGAAGCACCTTCCGGCGTGCTTGAGTCAATCTCTTCTGTGTCCCCTGACATTGGGCTTGCCGTGAGGAATTGTTCCCAGAATGCATCATTTATACCCGGAAGCTTGGAACCATCAATAAAAATATCCAAATCTGGATCAGGAGAGAACTTGTCCGTTTCTATTGGCATTGTTGTATCAAGCCCCACTGACAATGGATCCATGTAGACCCCATTACCTGTTTCAGTACCCACATAATTCCCTGGAATGTCTACAGCACTAGGCTCTGAAATCATTCCCTGTATTTGTGGGATAACCATGTCTGGCTGGCATGAGGCAACCTCCTCCACTCCAGACATCACACTCATATCTGCAAACTGAGTTGATGTAACCATATCTGTTACTAGACTCGAAGAAGATTGAATCTCGGTTATGGCAGCTGAGGGACGAATCCCTGTAAACTCTGATGCTGCAGGCAAAAATGATTGCCCAGAAGTTGGTGGTACCTCTGAAAGTGTCACTCCTGAGATTCTACTTGAAGAGCTGCCACTGTCCAATGCATTAGATGGTGAAGGAACATTGTCAATCAAGAAACTATCAGGATTTCCATTTGAAGATTCTAGCCTGGGAGATGAATCAAATTTCAAAATCTGCCTTAACATTGCTTTTGCTGCCTCATTCATCAATGGCTGATATTTGATGATCTGTCCATCAGGAGCTGCAGCATGTTCACCCTCAGAGTTGACTTCCTGTTTGGGGAGTCTCCTTTTCTTATTGACCCCAGAAATGCATCGGTTGCTATCACTCTGCTGCTGTACCAGCTGTGCAAGAAATCCAGGGCTCTGCACGGCCTTTGCCAGAAATGACATCATCTGCTGCTGCCTCTGCTCCATTCCCTGAAGCCGTTGCCCCATGGTCTGCAACTGGTGATCAGTTGCTTGTTGCTGCTGCCTCAGCCTAACCAGTTCCTGCATAAGCACATTCTTGTCCCTTTTAAGTCTCTCAACCTCTTCCTCAAGGCCAAACTTTCCCACCTCAACACATGCCGCGACTGAAGAATTCTGTCCTTGAGGTTGTTGTTGATGATGTATATGGGAGGGTTTTCGCCTATTAATAGTTTTCAACAAGTGTTTTTGACCTCTCAAAAACCCCTCGTTTGCAAATTCCCAGCGGTCAGGATCAACTTTCCTGAAACCCTGCTTAGAATGCAAGTGTCAATTAGAATCAATTGGAAAAGAAAATGAGACATACAACCCAGCCAAAATCAAATAGAAAGCAGAAAACCCACACAAGGATGCATAAATGATGGCAGAAGGAGGGTCCTATAATTTTCAGATTGTTCTAAGGTGAAGGAAGGTAATTTGGATGATATCTTGATGAAGAACAGAGCATAAATATGGAGACAAGCAGGCAGTTTACTGTCTACCAGAGAATAAGGAAATCAAGAAGAAAGAGAAAACTCTTGCCATTAGAACAGACAGAAGAGAGATAGATCACTGAGAAGAAATGAGAGAGAGAGAGAGAGAGAGAGAGAGAGAGAGAGAGAGAGAGAGAGAGAGATGACCACAGAAAGAACTAACTAAGCCAAACTTTATTCTTCAATTAATCTTCTAGTTTTCAACTACAATAACTCTATTTATAGACCCAAATTAATCTATAACTCTATTACGGTAATAGAACACATCTCCTGAGACATGCACTCACAGGGGGGGGAGAGAGAACCACAGAAAGAATTAACTAAGCCAAACTTTATTCTTCAAACACTCTTCTAATTTTCAACTACAATAACTCTATTTATAGACCCGAGTTAATCTATAACTCCATTACAGTAATAGAACACATCTCCTGAGACATGCACTCACAGGGGAGAGAGAGAGAGAGAGATGACCACAGAAAGAATTAACTAAGCCAAACTTTATTCTTCAAATATTCTTCTAATTTTCAACTACAATAACTCTATTTATAGACCCAACTTGATCTATAACTCCATTACAGTAACAGAACTCATCTCCTGAGGCATGCACTCGCAGAGAGAGAGGAAGAGAGAGGTAATGATTAAAGCAATATGAACTATCTTCTGAGCTCCAGTACCAGGAAAAGAGCATGGTTTAAAATGTCCCTAATTTCCCTAATATATCCACGACATATTTCCATTTCCATGGGTAGCAACACAATTTTACTGGAACCGACATTTCCCCAATGAACACTACCAACACTATGTGGAGTGCAAGAGATAGTTTCCACGACATACTTCCTTTTCCACTTCCATGGGTAACAACATGAAATTTTACTAGAATTGCATACTCCCCATTGAACACTACCAATACTATGTGGAGTACAAGAGATAGTATTATAACATAATTTGGTAACAATATTGTAGGTATGTGAAGTAGAAAGTTATTGTCCACCTAACTTATATGATTACCACTTTGAGCTAACTCAATATTCATTTCAGATGTAAAGTTAAATATTAGTTTTTGTTTATGTAATAGATTATTTGGTTAATCTATTACAACCATTTACATTTTCTATGAGTTCAAATTTTGCTTTAACTCATTCTATCATGAAGCTCCGAATCTTAAGGTTTATAGGGCAACTTTAGAATATATTCTTTTATCTATAACCTTAGTTTCTTATCTTTGTTTAATGACTTAGAATAAGATAATAATTTAAAAAGGTGTGCCTATGCTTCTTTTATCATTTCATAAACTAACATTCTATATTTTGCACATTTTACAATGTTTCCTCCATATCTATAATTTTTACAATATTTCCGACGTGTTTCTTATATTTGGATGACCGACATTTCCACCGACATCGACATTTCAAACCTTGGAAAAGAGTGACATTTGACACAAAGAGTACCTTCCTTTCTTCTTGCACATTGGTTGTTTTTCATCATCCAAGTGACACTGGCTGTTTTTGGTTTCTGAACATCAATGAAAATGGGAAATTATTGGAATGTATTTAAAAGATATTTTATAAAATATCTTGAGAACCTTCTTGCTTATTTTCTGAGAAACTAAACACAACACCTTTTCATGTAGTCATCCCAACACCTTGTACTCTCCTATATCATCCTTTTTCGTCTCATGAATAAAAATTGTGTCTTTGTTCAAAACATAATGGTGACAATAGAGTAGAAATGGTTGAGAAATTCATATACCCATGACCTACCAACCACTGCCCATCCCCACACAAAAGCCCAAAAAGATGATGATCATCATATCCAAGCCTTATCCCAAGTATATGGGGCCAGCTACATGAATCCTTTTTAACCATTCCATTCTGTTTAATGCCATACCCATTCTTAAATTATGGACACTTAAATAATTTCTCAGACACTACTTCGACCCATGTCCTTTTTTTGGTCTACCCATAGCCCTTCCAGCTCCTTTAATGAGAGAGAGAGAGAGAGAGAAAGAGAGAGAGAGAGAGAGAGAGAGAGGCCTCAAAATGTTAACAGGATGCTTATAGGATCCAAGATGTACACAAGATGATACTTCATGGAAACATTCTTAGCCATTCAGGATCTGATGGCTGAAATGATAACGCAGTTGTCCAACAAACTGTAACTATTGATAAATAAATAAATAAATAAATTATATTTTTGCCATTTATCTTTCTCAATTTTTATGTTCTTGCAAAACCCAGTATTTTCAAATCAAATACAAATCAATAAAATAAAAATTATCAATAGGAATAAAACAGAAAGGATCCATAAGATCTAGGAATGATCACAGGCCAGGCCTCCAGGGATAGGCCCAGGCTGAGGTTAGGCTTTTATAGGTTAATAATAACCTTTATGGCTGCCTAGGCCTGATAACATATGTCAGGGCCCAGGCTGGGCACCAGGGTTGCTCTTATAAATTAATAAAACTATATTTTCAAATTAAAATTTTAATTTAATTTTACAATTAAAATTACAGAATACATATGTATAATATATATATATATATATATATTAATAATATACATATATACCATTTTATATAAATATTTACATGTATATACCATAACTTCCAAGCCAGACAGGGCTGAGCGGGCAGATTTGCTTGGCAGCCTTGGCCCATCCCAAATCCACATTAGGTGTGAGCTTGATGTAGAGCCAGGCAATGCGGGCCCAGGCAGAGATGATCAACCCTAATACAATCGAATTTCACACACTGGAGTATCCTCTTTCATCTAATTCTTGAACAGACTTGCAGTAATCTTCAAGAAAGTAGGCATAGAGTTCTAACCAAGGTTCAAAGTATCAATATGCTCAATACTCAAAAGTTGAGTATCAAGCGTGTAATCTGATCAATGCTCATTACTTTTTTTCACTTTGTCTGACAGTTTGTAGACAGGTACTTAAAAGTAATAATTATTGGTTGAAACTTTTAAAATCACCTAACTCTCAATATCACATGTATTGGTTGTGTTGAAAATCAATATATATGAACATATCATACAATACACACCGATACTATGCAATATTTTGAGCCTAGGTTCTACCATAACCTACAAAGAATATTTTGATACTTTTTTTTTTTTATCAATAACACTTTCATTAATTCATCAATAGAAGATTTACAAAAGGAAGACAAACACGCTTATCTTCCAAGAGCAACAAAGAACCTCAAGAAAAGGAAAAAAGAAAGAGAACACACTAAAATTACAGCTTGGCCCATAAAAGTGAATACCTTTCTGCCCCTTGTTTAGCTAAACCGTCAGCTAGGGAATTAGCCGATCTTTTAACCCAACGTATCTTAACTTCCATCTCCCGCACCAGCCACT